ATAATAATAATAATGATTATTATTATTAATGATTGTTGAATTTAAATTAGCTGCTTCTGTTTGTCTACACTGTTCACTCTGGACTACACTTTAAATTTTAACTTTAAAATGACAAAAAGGGTAGGCAGATTATGAAAGGAACTGAGTAAATGTTTTTTGTGTGTGGGGGTCATCCACTGGACTCCACTCTCAACTCTGCTGATGCACCAACCACCAACACAGCTGCCAAAAACTACAAATTTGTGGTGACTACAATTAAACCCGGAGTGAACTCGAGACTAATCCCTGTCACGTGAAAACCGTTTAAGTATCGAGTGTAAGGTCCTTGGTCTCATTAAGCCATGGGAACACACTAGAACTTCACTTTCATCAGTTTAAGGGAGTGTAAAAGAGCTTTTTTTCTTAGGAGGCTTAAACTGATTCCTCTGACAGGTTTCATCCTCTCTGAACCCACCAGGGCTGCCAGGACGGAGGTGGTGCAGCTGAGGAAATACTGTACTGAAATCAAATACTTAACGTAGGAGCAGCCTGAACGTTTTCAAGTTTACTTTTAGTCTTTCATTTTCAGCAGTCACACATAAGGGCACGAGCTACAAGATACCTTAATGTTTCCTTTCTTGACCACAGCCTCTTCTTCTTAAGCAGGAAGCCAACAGGGAAACAACCCTTGATGAAAGCAATGACAGCTCTTCCACTTGCACATATCAGTTTAATATGTTTGTCTGCAAGCCTTATTTCCTGAAAGAAGTCTTTATTAGCCTAGCCAAAGACGGTATACCAGCTAAGGCTGCACTCTTTAATCAACTGCTGCTGAGTTACAATCACATCCAGCCAACACTTTTTTCTGTCCCACTGGACACTGAAACCTCTCGACTTTCTGCCCGTTCCAGGAAGCAGAACAATAATGTTGTTGTTAGGAGTTAGTGTCTACATTTTACTCTGCAGCCCTCCTTCATTTTCACTGTACAGTTTACATCTCTAGCTCTTGTCTGAGTACAACAAGTACTTGGACAAGATTCAAATTAGCATTGTTGTGGGAGAGCTAGTCTGGCCTCTGCACGACCTGTAAGAGTTATAAAGGGAACAAACAGTGTGCAGCGCAGGACTCACGACTCCATGTACAATTATTTCCATACATTCAAGATAAAATCAAATACAATACAAATCCATACTTTAGAAGTACTACTATCATGATGTTTTGTACAAATGTTTTATATAACTATAAACCATATATAGATAGTTGCAGGGATTATATGAAACCTTTTACTTACAAATATCACACTTGAGTCCAAACTCCTTTGGGATTTTGTTCAAACGAACCAGAGGTGTGTGTCCAATTTTTCCAAGGATGTTGGGGAGGATGCTGGAGGCTTTGGTGCTGTGATGGACAGACGGGAAAATACCCAAGAAAAATTCACCATCAGCTGTCTGTCCATAAAGCTTTACCTTTACCTAATGACAGTTCGGTGGAAATAGAATCACGTCACATCCAACGTGCTGACAATTAACCCTTCCCTCAGCAGTCATGTGACCTCGTTAATGTCAGATCTCCAGCTATGACCTGTCACAATCACTGCTAGGAACAAAGCATTTCTCACTCCACTGCTTTTATATTATCAGCCGTTTAATACTAATTAAATATCCCCAAAACACAAGTATGCATGCATATACAGTATGCTATTAGAGTACATGGAGAGTGAATTCAAGGTGAGATTTTCCTTGTTTAAACTTTTACCTTTAATTACTCTGTTTAAAATGACTGTTATTAACAATTTTGTTGGAAAGTCACAAATCGTGTTTTGTATTTTAGCTCCTGATCCTTCTCATTTACATGTCTGTATCCAGCTGTCTCATAATTTGTCCCTGCTTACCCTTTACACCTGAATTAATTCATGGATGAGCACTGATTTATCTCCCGAGCTTTCATTAACGTGACTCTCACCGTGCTGGGTGGCTATGAGGCGACTCTGAAAGAGGTGCACCCAGCCTCCAGGTACACCTGCTGGGTAAATCAGGGCGGATCCAGTTCCTCTGATCAGCACTCACTTCCCTCTCATCACTCTCATTGGTTAATTCATCCTGAACCTTCACACAGTCCTGGTCTCCATTTGCAGACTTTTGACCCAGAGCAATATCTGCATTTATCATGTTAGCTGTGTGTGGACAAAGAGAAGGAACATCTCCCAGATATGTTCGCTCAGAAAGCATGGCTCACCTGCGGGGAGGTGGAACAGGTGTTACAATCACACAGGCACATAAACAAAACCTTTCTAACAGGAATGAATACACAGCTTGAATCTGGCTAAACATTACATGTATTATACATCTGAGGGTGGTTGGTCTGTTCAAGAAGTCAATTAGTTTTTAACAGATTTTAGGAAAACACAATAAAGCAGCTATTTCCAGTTAACTACTGTAAGTGGCTGTAGATAACGTTCCCTTTGTTTGAAAAGGAGAGAAAATGCAAAGCTACAAGAAAAAAATTTATGATTTAATGGATATTTTGGCCACTTGGGGGCAACAGAGCCTTTCCTAAACACACCATTGCCATATTATCACTTTATAAAGTCATTATGGCGACAGTGTCAACATCCAGAAGGCTTTTGGGATGATTTTGGGTGAATATGATTTACAGTAATGAGAGGAAAAGAGGTTAAATTGATGTCACTCTAGCACTCAGACAGATAAGACAATACAGACTCATCAGGTTGAGAAAGGCTTTGCTCTTACTGTCATTGCCTCAGATTGAATATCCTTGATATGGTGCCTTTTGATTTAAAACAACTATTGAACACAATCAAAACATTGTGTTTGTTTGGTGTCCTGCAGGCAGGTTATATTTAATAAGACCAGGATGTGCTGGATGTTTAATCTGACGACTCTCTGGTTCAAACGATATGCTAAAGGCTCATTTAACACATTCATTTTTGCTGCAATCGTCTGACAGTAACAGGTAAAGTCCAGTGGTCTTTTTTTGTCTTTGTGCTGGATTTGTTATCAGACATTAGCAGATTGCATTCAACATGTAACAGGACGAAGTATCAGAAAGGTTAATCTTTTAAAGTTTCAGAGATATCAGAGAGTTGCTGCTATGCAAATTTAGTGGTGCTATTTGATTGAGGAGGTTCATACACTAGGGCCTTGTGCCTGATCTGTTTTAAACCAGCAGACATAACAGACCCTTTTCACACCAGATATTTTGAGTTGTACAGTAGGAAAAGCCCCAATAGCATCAAGTGTCCTGACAGTGAGCCAGAGTACAATACACTCAACACTGCAACTGAAACTAACTGAAAGCTAAATGGAAATCAGCCATCATTTTATTATTTACACTTCTACACAATCTATAGTCGATTAATCAGTTAGTTGATCAGGAGAAAATAATCAGCAACTATTTCATTAATAGTTTAATCATCTTTAAGTAAAACATGGTCAAAACTCACCAATTCCAGCTTCTCAAATATGAATATTTGATGCTTTTCTTATTCTTCTGTCTTCTTCTAGACACCAGCAACTGATTCTACACTGAGCGTTGACCAGCACAGACAGACCAGAGCATTTATCTGAGCGGGGNNGGGGGGGGGGGGGGGTGTTCCTCAGATAAACCACTGAGATCACCAATGGTGCAAGAGTCAGCTCCTTTACTTCAATAAAAGCTGCAACTACACAGTATAAAAATACTCAATTACACAAGTGGTGTATATATGACCAAGAGTATTATTACTGATGCATTTAATGTATGAGCTACCTATTTAAACCAGGTATTTTCTTTATTCTGGGGTAGAAAATAACATTTACTTAAGTTCTGTACTTTGGTACAACGTTGAAGGTACTTGTAACGTTA